ATCAGTTTAAATTTAATTGATATCTCTTAATAATTATAAAAAGTATATAATCTTTAAATCATATATACACATATATATTTGATGGTCTTTCAAGTTAGATTTCAAAACTATAACCAAGGAATGACTTTGAGACATTTCATGGGCCCTGAAATGTTTTAAAAAGTTTATTCTCTCTTCTTAAAGGATTTTTCAATAAAGCCAATTTAATATACTTGAAATCACATGGAAAGCTTTATCAAATAAAAATTAATAAATATATTTTAAGTTTTTGCCTCTAAGAAAGGGCAAAACAAGTTATTTTGCTTAATATTTATTAAAATACAGCAGTAGAATTTTAAGATGTAATTTAAAGTAACAAAAGCTCCTCACTGCTGCGTTTTAAATTAGGTTGGAGGTGGGGCAGCATTTGCACCTCGTGAATCAGACATAAAACTTTACTAAATTTACTAACTTTATTAATAAAAGTACCTACTATACGAAGCCAGTATCTTTGTAAGCAATTGAATCCTAGTAAAGTAAAATTCTTCTAAAAAAGTTACTGAAGGCTTCCCATGATCCCTCTGCATATGCAAATAAGCCGAAAGGGAATGCTGTTTAAAAATATTATCTTAAATTTAATAAAAAGAAGAAATTTTAAAATTTTGAAATATCTTCCACTAATATTTATAGGATAATCTAATGATTCGCTGTTAAAATACCAAATCTGAAAATAAGTACAGTCACCATAAATGTTTAATGACTTTGACTTGAAATACATGGCCTTGCGGCACTATCAGTCAACATTTAGGAAGTAACCCTCTAGGTTACTTAGTGTAAAAGAAAAATATTTTTTTTTTAATTGAAGTTCAAACAGTCCGGAGACCACCTGGGGCATGGTAAAGAAGATGGTACAGAAGCCTGACGCCTGAGAACGTCTTTCTTGCCATGCTAGCAGTAATCATAAGTACGGTAATATTACCTAGGGCAAATGTGTAAGTATTCCAGACTTATGCTCCTGACCCTTCATGGGTAAGAACCCTTACATGGGCTGATCCCCCGCCTAATGTAGTATCCAGTAGGAACATGGGTGGGGCAAGGAAGTAGGGGACTATCACTACTTGCTCCTGGGAGAGGTGCAGAAAATGTAACTAAGAGCTTGTCTATACAAAAAGAAATTGTCAGCCAGTTTAAAATTGAATTGCCATGGCCTAGAGCAAAGAATATTATTCTACAATGTCATTAACACATTGTTTGCGGGTAGTTTTTATCCTGCGCTCTACTACACTGGTAGAACGTATAAATACGTAAAACGTATAAATATGTTTCCCGCATACAATGTGTTAATAATTTTTGATATTTACAACAGCATATTGTACATTTATCCCAAACAAACTTACAAACCTATTCTTTGAATGTTTGTCAGCAATTTAATAAGGACATGAAAGGATTTAATCCCTTCCACTGTGTGGAAGGCCCCCTGGGAAGGCACTTGAGCATACTATATTGGCCTCTCTTGCCCTTTTTGCCAAGGAGGTCCCTCTTCCAATTGCCCACAGCTGTTGCCTGAGCTCTCTGTTCTTGCTGAGGTCATGGTGGCTGGTGCCATGGATCTGTCTCTTGCCCAATGGCTTGAGCTGGGCCCTCTCTGGAGTAGAAACCTGGGTTCCCCAAGATATGTGATGAATGCCGGGGCCCTGCCAGCAGGCAAGGGGATCCCAAGGCAGTTGCTGGGCGTGGAGGCCACAGGGGCATAGGCTACCAAGGAGACAGAACTGAACCTCACATCACCCTGCTTGGCCCC